TTATTATTATTATTATTATTATTATTATTATTATTATTATTATTATTTCTAAGAAACCCCCAAACCAGAAAGCTCTCTCCACTTTGCATGATCATTGAAATTTTGCAGGCCTTGGACAGCCATGCAACCTTAAATGCAACCTCCTGACTGCCAAAGTATTACTTTAACTCCATCTGTCTTTTCAGAAATTAAATGTTTGGTTTGGAACACTCATATCTGTCCTCATTTTCATCCAAGAAGCACTTGGATGGCTCGTGTATCCATTTCCATCTTGCAGTCTTATTCACAGACTTCATCCTTGAGACTACCTGCAAAGAACTTGACGGTTGACTTAATGGACTCACCTTGTCAATGAAGGATGCAAACTTGTTGTTGAGGGTCTTGATCTGTTCCCTTTCCTGTTGCCGCACTTTTTGAATGTCAGGATCAATCTCCAAGTGCAGTGGTGATAGGAGGTTGGAATTGACAGTCACTTTCTGGATGCCCCCAGGAGGAACCATGGGCCCCATTCTTAGTCCACCATCATAGCCTCCTACTCCTACTCCTAAACCAAAACCTCCAGCTCCATATCCATAGCCACTACCAAATCCTCCTCCACCACCGCCACCACCATATCCTAGGCCACTCCCAAAGCCTCCTCCAATGCTGCTATGGCTGATTCCTAAAGAGGTCCGTTTGCCACCCCCCAGATTGTAGAGGCTTCTACTACCAAAGCCCCCACCCAATCCTGCACTTCCCTTCACACCACGGGATAATGAAACTGAACTGAAACTAGCTTTGGTTCCACTGGGAATGACAGTAGTGGAAGAGGTATATCCCCGGGAAGTCCTAATCCCTCCCCCAGATCTAGAACTGAATTGCCTACTCATTGTGCCTAATTCAAAGAGTGCTAAAGAGAGCTGAGCGAAAGCTGAGCTACAGAAGGAAGGAAGAAAAAGAGAGAGAAGGACAGTATACCCCACTCCGAGGTGCAGATTTGGTTTCCCCTCTATATATACACACACATTTATATGTGGAGGTGTCTTGGCTGGAATTAGGTAAGTAATTAAGAATCAGATCGTTACTGGGCTGGGTTATATCTGGCAGCAATAAAAAAATATATCTTCAACTTATCTTAAAGGTGCCTTTGAACTGAAGCGCTACCTTAAAATTGCTTAGCTTGGAGGCTTACCTGACACAAAATCTATGTAAGCTAACCAATTAATTTACCCACCATTGCCTCTATGCATAAACAAATAATAATTCAGAGCTGACAAGAAGGATTTTTTTATTCTTAAAAAAACCATTTGCTTTAATTGTAGATGATTATTAGGTGCCGTACTTCAAAGCTATGTAGAGGTTTCCCCGCCCCTTGCCACCATTGGCTGAAAATCTAATCTGTAGCACAGCATATGTACTGCAGGTGGTTGATTGCTTCCCCTGAGGGGAATTTGATGCAATTGTCTTGCTTACCCCTCAGTATATGTTTGAAAGTGCTTTCCCTATTTCTTGGAACAGGAACAGGTGTTTTTCTAGCCCTAGGTCAATGCTTTAGGCAACAAAACTCCAGCTTCTGGTCCTATGAATCAGAAAGGCTACCTTTTGTCCAGCACTGCCATCAAACACATGCTTCTTTCAGCTCTTGTGATGTTGCTGAACTACAACTCCCAGCAGATGTAATCAATATAATCAATGGTAAAGAATGTTGGGATTTTTAGTTCAACCACAGCTAGATCCTATATAGGGCCTGTTTAGCTGAACTGCGGAGAAGGAAAGATTCCCAGCTCAGTACCTTTTCACTGAGGAGGTCAGTAGTGGCAGGTCAAATCTCACTTCCTGTTTCTGATCTTTCCTTAAAATGAATGAGACCATACCATTGTTTTGAATCTGAGGGTTGCCCTTAGTTTGAATGGCAAACTGAAGTTTTAAGGTCAAGCCAAGATGCTAACTGTTGACAGTGATATGAGAAGTACTGGGTTCTGAAAGTTGGCCATTTATGGTACACCAAGAAAATGCCGTATCTATTCTGGAATGCCCTCTTAATTTAATTTGGGGAACAATCACCCAAACTAAGCCAATCTTCCAGGTGGTGAACCTACCTTACAACAATGAAACACTTCATCTGCTTGTATAGAATCTTCCTCCCACAACTGCAAGAGCAGACTTTTCTTTCCCCATGAAACCTGCAAGGAATAGCCACCAACCAGTGGCAGGACCATTGGGAATTTGACACAAAAAATAAGGCAGCAGCTGAAGGCCTGTTGTCTCTAATTGTAACAACAACAACTATTTTGGAATGTAATGCACAAAGGGAAGGCATCAATTCTTTTCATTCAAGGTCCAAATCTAGAAGATGAACCTGTGGGAACAGCAGAATTTAGCAGCCTCATATTTGGTGAGGAAGCAGCATACTTTCTGAAATGATGAAACATGAATAGCTACAAGTCAGAGATCTCCCACCCTACTACTACCCAACCCCCGCAACCCCCAACAAAGTATGATGAATATCCTCTTCATCTAGCTCAGTTGGTACATTTCGGCAACCCACTTTATCTCCTAAGCTAGCAAAATCCTAACCCTGATCACATATGCTGTCTAAATATTTTAATATATATTACGCATCATTTACTATTCAAATGCTGATGGAAAGCATGACAGGACCTGATTAGCAGCTACTGTTTTTTAAAAAGAGATTTAAAACCAGAACTCAGTAGCTTCAGCTGGAGGCAACAGGGGCTGCAGCTGTGAAATGAAGCAAACAGAAAATTCAGCTGTAGAAGCAGAATATTAGACCTGGCTAATCTAGGAACTTCATATTATTTGACTATTTCAACAATTGACATACCCTTTGGTCTTTGTAGCTGTGTCAAGTTCATACTGAAATCCTAATCACTAAGAGCCAGTTTGGTCTAGTAGTTAAGGCACCAGAATATTGTGAGTTCAAGTTATGCCTTAGCCATGAAACCCAGCTGGGTGACCTTGGGCCTGTCACACACTCCCAGCCCAACTCACCTCATGGGCTGTTGTGGAAGAAATAGGAGGAAAAAGATGTATTGGATATGTTGTTTGTAAAAAATAATAAAGATGAGATATAAATAAATAAGTCAGTGTTTCTCAACCTTAGCAACTCTATGATCTATGGACTTCAGCTCCCAGAATTTCCTAGCCAGCAAGGAATAGATAACCTAAAATTGAATCTTAACATTTTTTGCAAAAGACAAGAAAAATATTGAACCTACTGCTATTTCCTTAGTTAATATAAATAATTGGCTGAGTTCCTTAGGGACATAAAAAACATCACAATTTCTTCAAACCAACCTCACTCACCCTCATGAAACTATACTTGATATGTTATATGTTAACACAACTTAATATGTCATATGTTAACATAGTATAAGTATATGTGTGTTATATTACACTAAGCTATAACTGTATCCCCAATCCCTACATAAACCTTCTTTTAATGCTATATATTAGGACCTGTGGCTTTTTTAAGATAATGGCAAATGAAGCAATGCCAAATTATTTTTGAAAACTGGCAAGAAAATACCCTCTTCACAATAAGATTGGAGGAAATTAATATCACTGAGGGAAATCCACCCTAGCCTTTGGCAATACTTCTGTTGAATTGGCAGTAATTTTACAACCCAGCATGCGTTCAAGTCAGAAGCTGGCGGGAGAGACCAAACTATCTGGGGCAGGTGAGTCCTATTGGATAATATCCATACCCTGGGGCCATTTTGCTGCTTCAAACTGCCATTTGCCTGAGGTAACAAAGGGAGAATTTTATTAAAATTCCTTGCGGGCAGAGGTGGAATGTTTCTTATAGAAAGGAAGGAATCCAATCCAATACCTATTTGTTGCTAATATTTAATTCGTGCAGTCTCCTATAGAAAGATCTGGGGAGGAAAATCCACTAATGATAAAGATTGAAGCTTTATCATAGTCATTGGGCTCCCTGATATCATAGCATAGCAGTTTTGCTATGTCTGGTTAGTCCAGCACACGGTCTCTTTCTTATGAATGTGTTTGTTTGTTTCACTCATTTATATGGTAGATAGTACAAATGAGGCTTATCCGGAGATTTCAGAAAATTTATAAGTATAAAATGCTATAAAAGCCATCAGATACTGAATACAAGAACACATGGACAATCAAATCCAGGTTAACTAGGTTTTTAAAAAGCAGTCATCACTAAAATTCAGAAGTTTGACTGAAGATTATTTTACCCAGTTTACAGAAAAAGACAATAGTAAAGGGGGCCGAGTATCTCTGGTGGCAAATTGTTCGAAAGTGTTGGGGCCATCACAGAGGAGGCCCTTCATTGCCCAGTGGTTCTCTCAATTAAATGGTAGACAATGGTAGCATTTTATTTTGCAGTTGCAAGCCATAAATAATTGTGGTACCTCATCAGCAAACAGGCTGAGTGGAGAGCCCCTGATACAAAGATATATCAACTTCAATGCCAAAGAATATGCAGATACAGTGGTGTCATGGTTTCTATATGGTGGAGTGAAGCTATTTCGAGGCATGTTCGGGTCTTTTCCCATGTAAGGTTGAGAGCATCTTGGCAACATTTCAACGAGGTCCCATTCGGCTTCGTGCTTGTGCGAGCAAAGCGTGATCAGAGCTGCCATCTCCCTATATATACTGGTGGGGAGGTTGGTTGTGTTGTCATTTCTTTTTTTTTTTTTTTAAACAAGTTTTATTAATTTTTAAAACACACAAATTGTCATTATTCATTACATGTTTAAACCTTTTTTCATTGTCAATTTAACAAGTCAGATAAATTATAATTCTGTTTTAAACCATTTCCATACAACATACCAAAACCTCTTATTCAATTTCTCTTTACTTCTCTTTACTCTTATTCAATATCATTATTATTATTTCATCTGTTTCTTTCTGACTTAGTTACCATTATTCTCAATCTATATTTCTACAATTTTTAACTAATTCTCCCCCCAAAAAGACATATACACACAACACACAAAACATTAAAAAAAATCTTTTTGGAAAGTAACTTGGACCCAGGTATCTCTCTCTTCATGGACTTCAATTATATTCATGCTCATCTTACATATCATTACTTATTTTATTTACCATTCTAAGCCTTCTATATTAACTTCCCCACATATTTCACACTTCTTACTTCTATCTTAATTAATCATCTTAATTTGAATCATTATATTTATATCTTTTGTCCATTTTTTATCATCCCTTTGTCTCATTCCTTATAAAAAAAAAAGAAAATAAATTTCTCCTGAAATCATTAATCAGAGTATGATGCCTTTCTATCTCCCCCCTAAGTTAATCAAATTAATCTTTAAAATAATATCTAATACCCAATCCGATTTTGCTTGGTACATTCTATCTAACTAATACATCCAACATAATTAAGTACATAATTAGACAATAAATCCAAATATTAAAAAAAGATACTATAATAAAAATTTTATAATAACATCAATACCATAGTCTTATTAAACTCTTTAATTAAAACAATATTCTAAACCTCCCCTATTATTAGGTTTTAAAGCCAATCATTTTTAAACATTTTAACATTTTAATCTCTTATCAACTCTTAAATCATTACAATACTACCATCTCATCTTATGTACCTTGCAAAATCTTTTTTTTTTTTTAAAAAATGTATACTTTATCCATTATCCAAAAAAAATTTCTTTTTTTCATTTAATTTCAAAACATTGTAGCTTTTCTCCACCTTTTCCCTTTCTTTCTTCTCCCAACAAACCTTTCTACCCCCCCCTTCTTCTAGCCTCTGCCTTGCCAGCTTCCCTTCTCTGTCGTATTCCTTTTCCCTTTTGTTTACTATCATCATATTGGTTTTGCACCTTATTTTTCCCTTTCTTAAATGTTTTTTTAGATCTTAAGTCCTTAAGTCCTTTAATTTTCTTCTTTTCTCTTCTTTTCTTTTCTTTCTCTCTTCCTTCTTTCTG